CTAACACTGAGCAATGCCAACCACTATGAACGAATCTGATAGTTCTACCACATATAGTGTGCAGAAGCTGCAGGCTCCGTTATTAACTCAGAATGTTTAACCGGCTTGGAGCTGCCCATAAACCTGGAGAACCTTAGGAACCACTCAATAAAGTCAACAAGCGCGAGCAGAGCAGCCAAGGAAAACTACATTGCATCTTCCATCCCTTAGCACCGATATCGATCTACCCGAAACTTACTGAGAGGCCAGTAAGGTTATAAAAAGTATCTGTATGGATCTACGAAACAGTCGCTAGCTATATGAATTTGTAGTTATAAGCCCATGGTAATCTGGGAGTGTGAACATATTATATGGATATGCTTCCCCAATAGAAGAAATCATCATTTCAATATTTAGTCGATGACGGCCCCTAGTATCCTTGAACTATTTGCATTTTCTCTTTCCTTGACGATCATGAACCGATAAAGAACTATTGAACCAAACCGCCTATGAATACGGAGCATAGTTAAATATCATAGACAACCTCTCTATACGTCATGAATGGAAACATGGCAGCCATGTGGTTGTACCGAGTTTCTAGACGCAGCTCCAAACGAAACAGTCCTCGACGTGTACACGATATACCGTAAGTTGCTAAAGACTTTGGCTCATAGCAAGACAGTGCGGCCATATTACGAGCAAAGTGACTCTCATCCACCGGACCCACTGAGCGACTCTGTGCACCCACCTGCGAACCACTGCCAGCAATACACGAAAAAGTGTTGTGAGAAACAACTAGACTCCCCTCCTTCGACTTCACAATGTTCAGGATAGTAACTTCGAGGCGTCGTGCAAAGGACTTTGTACGCTAAACCCATCATACCTCACCTCCACTTGGACCGCCGTGAACGAAACTCTCTGGCAACAGTTGCAAAAACAGCCCTGAAGATCAAAAAAGGCACATCCGCCTTCGACCGCACCCATACGCATTCATACCCCAACCACATCTTCTGCCAAAAACACTTCAATAAAACCCAAATATACCTACACACAAAGTGGCCTTTCCCTCATCGTAGCTGCAACACTGGAATTTACGACCTCCGAACCACCCAGCTCCACCATCAAGCCAGTCTCAACACACTCATCCCAGCAAGCCCAACCTTATATCACCCCAGCTACAACTGAACCCCTCCGAGAGCAACTCACCGTCCACCACATCAATGATGATAAATCTCGCCACTCAATTTAACAACCTTACCCCCCCATAACCCCCAAAAACTCCAATATACAATATCCTGCAAGAAACCAGACGAGTACATATAGAAAAGATTACGTCTTTTGAGCATTCTCAGACGGTGAGCTAGATGCGTCGGATTGACGAGGTACCAAGGCCATGTCCAGCTTTTTCCTCGAGACTAACCGTACGTACAAAGAAGGAAGAGATATTATGACATCACTACTTCACTACCGGGTTACCGCAGATAAACATGTACGCAAGGGAATGATGGATGGCTACGCGAGCAATGGACATATCTACTGATTGACTCATTACGAGAACATCATGCCGTAACGCACGGAGTAAACGTAGTACTACACAGCTGACAGCGCAAAGTTTCACACACATACACATCACCATAAGGAAAAAGCTTTCAAGACCGAGAAGAAAACAATAACACGCTAACCCCCTTGCCTCTCTCTCTCTCTCAAAATCACATCACCAACACCACACAGCCACACAACTCATACCAAATACCTCATACTTGACGTCTCATTAACCCCAGTCAGTCCTAGAACAATGTCACATAATCACATCAAAGCACCATAATTATCCCCAAGGCATCCTCAAACACACAGCCTACTACTACGACGTGACACAAGCGCAACAGTACCCTCTACCGCTGCGCATCTTAGATTCAGACGACGTATCTTGAACATCTCTATAACTAAAGCACGAAAATGATAAGCCTTTGTTGATAAATTGGAATCATTAGAGAGAGAAAAAGAGAGAGAGAGAGACAAGGACATTAGAGACCCCGAAAAATATGAACAGTAGCAGCGCTGACACACATGATGATATTTTTGTAATTTTCCGCACACCTCTCGTTGAGGAGGGAGGAGGAACCACTCACGATTGCGCGTCATGAAACTCTTCTTCCTCCAATGTCTGGCTGTCGGTTCTCCGTAAAAGATCATCCTTGTGTGCTTCTTTGGCAGGGTTGGAGTGAAGCAGCTTGCTTGGCGGGAGTTCATCGGCAAACTTTGGCGGGTTCTCTGACGAGACTGGGTCTGGTTGAGATGCTGGCTTTTCGGTAGGTGGCGGTTGTGGATTACTTGGATCGGTGGAGTTACTACTGTGAATTGGGGGCGTGGCATGAGCCGTTGTTCCGTCGAAGTTGCTGGGAGAACCTACGCTCTGTTGCTGATGCTGTGCTATTTCTGCGGGTTGTGCGGGTTGCACCTGCTCAGTAGGCACCTGTTGAACGTGCTGAGTAGACTCGTTTGTTTGAGTTCGATGGATACTCGATGTCCGTGAAGGGATGTTGAATTGTTTGTCGGGCTTCTGACCGGGGAGTATGGCATGGATTTGCAAGATCTGTTTGACCACCTCTTCCGGGGTCTTTCCATCACTGTGTCTTGTCAGATTAAATCGAGCACAAAAGGATTGAATACGAACATCTTGGCGTTGATAATCCAATCCAAGTCTTCCTCGCCTTCTTCGCTCCCACCGTGACCGCCCCTTACGCGTCTAAAGAGTTGCGGGTGCCAGTCGACACCCTCACTGTTTCGTTTTGCGGCTTCTTGACGTTGCCTGTCTTCGATCCTGGCCTTTGCATCCGTCGCAACATCCTGATCCCTCCGCTTCACGGCTTCTGTCACTTCATGCCACAGCCTCTGTGACTCTCGCTCGTCTTGTTCCTCCAGAGGGCGGGCGCTGGGTGGCGTATGCTTAGTATGTGCGGCGTCAAACAATAGCTCTTTCTTGCCAGTCTGCAAAAGTTAGCCAGTTCTTGTAATCCAAGACAACAAATCCCTACAGTCAGATCCTTAATGTACATTTCCTCGTTCCATTGGCCGGAAAGTTCGAACAAGTTTTTGCCGTTCGCATCCTTGATGAAGCCACCGATGGCGTTGTATGTTCCGCTAAAATAACCCTTGGTCTTGAATTCAAGGTCGGCACTTAGTCCAGTCTCGGGACAGCGAATATAAGCGTGGTCGCCAAGCTCGTATTTCATGGTTCCAAAAAGAATGCCCCGCGCATACATGTTAGGTTGTGTGACAAAGCTATAATCTCATGAGCCTCCCAGATGCAAAGGCTGTTACGGCGACTCACAATCGTTCACCAGTGTTCAAGAGCCGCAGTATCGCAATGCCCTCCATCATACTCGCAGCAGAGTTTCCCAAAAACTTGCTCCTGGGCTTGAGAGTTCCGTCAATGCGTATGTGGTGTTCAGGCGCCATGAAGAAATAGCTCGACTTTGGTGGATGGTGTGACGTTTGCTCGGCAATGTAGTATCCCTTGGTACCGTCTGAGTAGTCCCAATAGCCGGTGAATATCTCACCGAGTATGGGGTTGAGCGGCTTCTTGACTCCACTACACTCACATCAGTTGTTGCGTACGGGCGGGTCATGATTGCGGGTATGCATACGGGGGTTTGATGTGCCATCCACTGAGATAGAACTTTGTCACAGCTACAAATCTTTGCACAGGGTCCTCGATCTTGGTAATGGGAAGCAGCGTTTCCGGATGTGCCATGAAACTATCCTGTCAGTCAGCATGCGTTGCCGACTTTGGAGATTTAGCCTAGTACACACTTTGTTATGCGCTCCAGCATCGACCGCGGTTCGAGGATAAAAGTAGGCAGTGTGACTCTGCTCAGATCGGCACCAGGCCGCAGTTGTGATATAATATGGGTGAGCACTGGGTGTTGTGTTAGCCAGTGTCCAGTGTAACAACCAGCCTCGCAGCGTTTTCGGAAGACGCACTATTGCCCTGCTCCGGGTCTATGATGGTCTCATCTTCTTTGGTGACATCTTCGCCGCCATCATGTCGCCGTGTCTCGTCTATAGAGGAGCCGCGACTGCCTAGATGTTCACTCGATCGTCAGCGTCAGGTCGTTGGCAGAAATTTGTTCGGAAGACTCGGTACAAGCGGTGGCCGGGGTATGACGCACTTGTAAGGGACGTCCGCCGATGTTTGGAAACGCCAGGTAGATGTGGCATGTTGGCTACTGGTTGTTGAGAGTGGGAGTAGGTGTGAGGAAATAGGCCAACAGGGTAAAAGGAAATGTAGGCTTTGGGCAGCCTGGCAACGCCCCGATCGAACTTGTCTTGGTGCTTAGGGCGCGTGCGGGCGTGGGGGAGCTCTACTAGTCCAGGGCTCACAGCAATGACGAGAGGGGCGGCTTCACAAAAACTAGCGACCCCGCGCTACGACACAGGTTTGACAACAAAGGGCAAACATCAACAACGAGCAATCAAGGGCCAATGTGCAAGCAATGAGGGGGCTCAAAAGATGTGCGCGACACTGCATAAACAATATCTGGACACTCAGTTGACTTGCACCGTAGCGACAGCCAAGCTGGCTTCTTTGAGCCGACAGCGGGGCAGTTGTCTCGTCCGCCGTGTTCCAAGGTCGCAGGCAGCATTGCTAGATACAGAGGCATATCTTGGGTGCAAGTGAGCCCTGATACGTATCCAGTGGATGTGTATACATCACATGCGTGTTCTAGCGGTTCCATGGAACGCTCGGGTGCGAAACGGTGGAGATTTTGTGGATGCTTCATGGATGTCCACCCCTGTGTGCTTCCGGCGGAACCGACAGAAGGGAATATGGACAAAACGATGCGGCAGTTGCACCCTCTGCCACTGGTTCCCAATCATGGTTGTCTTTGCATTATTTTGCTGACGCAGGTCGTATCCAAAATTGGCACACGGCTGCTTATATTTTCCTATAAAGGAAAGAGAAATTAACAAGTGTAAGTATGCCTGGGTATATTAGTGGAGAGTGCGATGAGGCTATCCTAGTCCAACACGCTCTCGCCAGCCTGGTCTGCGTTCTTCGCACTTTGTTCCTGAGTTTTCCTGGGCAGGTTCTTGACCTTGAGCGTTTGCGCATCGCTCGTGCTTATCACTTTGACACCGTGCTCCTCATACTCCTTGTGCACTTGTTCCATGGCTGAGGGGTCCACCGCTCTTGTCGCCTCACCAATCACCCATGTCTTGAAGCCTTCGCTCTGTGCATCAATGGCCGTGTGTTTTACACAGTAGTCGGCTGCCAAGCCAACGACGTAGACGTCTGTGATGCTGGCCTTGTGCAATGTATCTGCCAGGCTGCTCCTGGCGACACACGGACTCTTGAAGGGATCCGCAAATGCCGAATACATCTCGACGCGCTTGTCCTGGCCTTTTTCCACAATCTGATCTAATTTGCTGACGTGTAGCTCTGACAGCAGTTCCGAGCCCTTTGTTCCCTGGACACAATGGTCTGGCCATAATCGCGTCTCCTGCTTTTCTTCCGGGTTGTGCGGGTTTACGATTGTAACTGTAGATTCAAACGGCTTGTTCTTCGGCGGTGGGTGATTTGAGGCGAAGGAAATGTGGTCTTGCGGATGGAAGTCTTTGGTTGCTACTTTCAAGGCGAAGGGATAGTCGAGGCATTCGTTGATTACTGGTACTATGTCGCGGCCTCCTGCCACTGCCAGCGCTCCATTCTAGCCTGTGAGCGACGGTCAACAAGCGAGTTGGGCGACTTACTGGCGGGCAAAAGTCTTCCTGTACGTCGACGATGATTAGAGCGGGTTTGAACGACATTGTTAGTATTGGGATAGAATCTAGTGGTGGGGTGAGATCACAATGGTTCGTTGCGATGATGCAAAGCGTATGCGGAGGACAGCACGGCAAAAGGCTTTGTCAAAAGATGTTTTTTTTTAGTGTACAAGATCAAATCAGCATAGCGCATGGTGCTGCAGACGATTATTAGCATGTGCGGCTAGAAAACGCGCCGTTGACAATGGAATGATTTGCAAAAGAAGGAATTGCAATGGGGTCGGTGGCTCTGCTCAGTTGCTGTGGCTTGACGGATTGGGCCTTACCTAAGCAGTGCGCAAAGCCAAGCTTCTCTCGTGACGGAACGCAATCCCACGATCACGAACTCGCAAGCTCGATAGCCACGCCTACCCTCTCCACTCAACCCCAATCGCTCTCGCCATGTTTCTCCAACGCTCTGCCATGGCCGCGGCAAGGCGGGCGGCCCCCCGCGCGCTCGCCCAGCGCACTTTCACGACATCCTTTGTCCGCCGTAGGTTTTGGGACTACCAGCTATCGTACGATGTAGCATTGACACCATTGCAGGCGACGACAGCAAGATTGCGCAAAAGGAGACTGGCCACTCGGCCAATTCGCCCAGCGTTCTCGAGGGCTTCAAGAAGCTCGACGGTATGTCGCGCCCGCACTTGGGTAGCCGCAGTGTTGCGGATGCCGCGTGGGAAAAGTGTCGATAGCTGACGAGAGCACTGGGCGTTTAGAAATCAAGTCAGAAGCGGATCTCCTCCCTCCGGGTGCTAAGCCTGGTACTGTGCCTACGGACGCGGAACAATCTACCGGTCTGGAGCGTCTCGAGATTCTCGGAAAGATGCAGGGTATCGACATCTTCGACATGAGGCCATTGGATGCCAGCCGTGTCGGTACGTGATGAAACAAAGCAAGGTCAAACGTGGAGCAGCAGCAGGCAGACACAAGTACCTAGATGAGAGTGGCATTGATGCTGACTGAGTTACAGGCACCATGGAGAACCCAATCACTGTCAACTCTGCAGGTGATGAGCAATATGTTGGTTGCACCGGATGCCCCGCCGACTCGCACAACGTTCTGTGGATCACCCTCACCCGCGAGGAGCCCAAGTCACGTTGCATGGAGTGCGGCTCCGTGTACGAGATGCATTATGTGGGCCCGGCAGAGGATGCTCACGGTCACCACGACCACCACGACCACCATGAGAACCCATACCCAAGGCCCAAGACCATGGCCGACTTCCTCAAGCCCGAGTACCGTGAGCTATAAATGTAGCTGACGTATTTTTTTCTCCCCATGTGCAGGGTGTATCTATAGGACTGAGAGAAATCTGTAGCATAGGAAGGGAGGGGTTTTAGAGGGAGCCACGCAGAGACAGAGAGAGAGAAGTACTATTAAAGTTTCAACGTATGCACTAGTGTGAAGTGATGTGTTGTTGCGTGTTTCTATAATTGTATAGTTGTGCGTTGCAACAACGATCAGCGGGCCAGTCAGCAAGTCACGGACTGTAAGCCGTGATATGCCCGGCCTGAGACTAGGGAGTGAGTGGTTGATGAGCGGTTCAGGATCCTTTGAGAGCCATGGTTCCTAGGACTAGACTCTCGATGTAGGCCTTTTCGTCTTGAGAGTCATTTCCGTGATTATCCCCGTTGGCTTGTTTAGTGGTGGTGTTGCTTCGAGAAGCACGGTCAGCACTAGCCAGCTTGTAGACCTTGCGGACCTTGTCTAGTTGACAGAAGGAGCCCAGTTCTTGACCGTTGTCGGCAATCTCGATGCTGGACCCGTGCACAACGCTGCCGAGATGGGCGCTCACGGTTTGATTTGTGATGGACTCATCCTTGACGTAGGTACCATGGGGAGCGGATGCAGAGAGGGGTAACTTGACGGCAATGATTGCAGTCGACGAGTCTGAGATGCCAAACTTCTTGTAGGATTCACCAATGTTGTTGTTGGGGGAGAGGCGAAAGACGAGCTCCGAGTGGGGAGTGCGCGTCTTTGCTCGCTCAGTCAAGAAGTTGTGGAGAGCAATAAAGGTGGCGGAGAGGAGGTGCTGGGGTGAGATGATCTATTTTAGTCAAGAGTCAGTGGTGTAAACGGCGCAGGTAGCAGGTACGCAGCAAAAGACGATTAGACTCAATGGAAGCAAGATTATGTTGACATTGGGACACGATGGGAGGGTTGTGATAGGCGCGGAGCGGTGTTGCCCGTTCTCCAGCAGGCAGTGGGTGGAGTGACGTTGAAGCAGCACCAGGAGGATGCTGGTCATCGACACCGTTTGGTGATCCAGGCGCTGGTTGTGGTTGTGCGGCAGGGGTGTCGAAGCCCGAACCATTACCGGCCGTCCAGATTAGTGCAGGCTGGAATGTCACCAACCCACGTGAGGGGGAGAAAGGGGAATGGACGAGGCAAGAGCATCCGCGGAGATAAGGTGCAAATGGCAGGCGCACGCGACAAGTGGCCTGAGCCAGTGCAGTGTTTTTGTGTGTGTGCGTGTGAGTCTTTTTCTTTCTTTTTTTCGTCTTGTCTGGGCGCTCATTTTGTTCCCCCCCCTTTTTTTTTCCCTTTTTCTAGCACTAAGATGGGTGCGTGTAGTTTTGGTGCAGAGAGAGAGAGGATGGAAAAGGTAAGTCCGGGGCAAGGAGACAGGGCCGTACCATTGACGCGTCCAAAAAGGCATAGTCGAAATGCGGATTGGCATCTAGTAGCTGACGCCTGAGATGTGAGGCGTTTGCGACATCCTTGAACAGGGCCACGTGGACAGGGTAGGCATGATAGTGTGGCAGCTGAAATGTGCGCACCGACGCCATGGTCGTAGGAGAGCTTGGGGGGATGGACGGTAGTTGATGTGCAGCAGGGCACTGGAGCGGTGGGGAGGTTGGACTATGAGGTGGGGAGACGAGTGAGTGGGTGGATGACGGTGGCTGAAAGTTTCAAAAAGGAACGGAGCGCAGGCTGTTTCGTACATATGGTAGCGGGGCAGTATGTGTGTGTGTGTGCACCCCCACCGACGACAGGCGAGCGGGCGGGAAGGGGGAGTGGGAGTGGGAGTGGAAGGGCGGCGAGGGACAGTGCAGGGTTGGGTATCAGGGCGCGGTGAACAAGGCTGTCGGGAGAGGGAGTAAGTAAGTAGCTAATGGGCATAGCTAGTAAGTATGTAGTGTGTAGTAATCTCACGGCTCAAGGCCCATGGTGGTTAGCAGTGCTAAGGTGGGTTGGGCGGTAGTCGACAGTAGTAGGACGGCTGGCCAGTTTGGGAAGGATATACTTGGGGCGCTGCATACTAGCGGCAGCAAATCACCAGCGCAGTGGCGAGGGCACAGCAGCACAGCCAAATGGGCCGAAGCTGTCAGGGCACGGCGACCGAGCCGTGTATGTTCGCTGGTGATGGCGGCCAATGGCAGGGGCGCGGTGCGTGGTCGAGGGCGGTTGCTGTGCGCACGCCCGCCCGTGTGCACCAAAGAGGCGCCGAGGCTACTGTACCAAGGGCATCGCGGCGGCCATTCACTTTCCCACCGCAGTGCACCCTCACCTCGCCCTCTGCGCTGCCCGCTTAAAGCATTGCACACACGCGCCCTCCCAAGCCCCTCACCCCTCTCCTCAGACGCCCCAGCAACATCGCCCTCTGGTGCTGCCAAACTGACTGTGGGCGCGCGGCTATGCGAGCGTGCAGCCTGCCTGTCTGACAGGTGATCGCCCCAAGCCACACAAGGCTCGTTCTGGGGACTGCCCATCGGTCGTTCCCACCGGCTTTCTCCGCCGAGTTCACGTCCAACCATGGCGAGCAAGCGACCTGCCGACGACGACCCCAATCTCGTCAGCAAGATCCAGCGCGTCCACCTCCACGCCCCGCTGAGTCCCCAGCACCGCGCCCCCGCCACGGCCACGACAAACAACACCATCATCACCACCACTGCCGCTGCCACTGCTGCCTCCGCAACCGCCAATGCCCCTCCCTCGTCCGCCCCGGCCCACAGCAATGTCGCAAATGACTTCTCCGGCTCCGTCAAGAAGAAGCTGGCCGACTCCAAGCGGACCGGCCAGGCCTGCGACCGCTGCAAGGTCCGCAAGATTCGCTGCGATGGCCGCCCCGAGGGCTGCACGCCCTGCGAGCAGAACAGGACGCCCTGCCGCACCACCGACCGCATCACTGGACGCGCCACTGTCCGCGGCCATGCAGAGGCCATGGAGTCGGAGAACTCGTACCTGCGCGCCCAAATTGCAGACCTGCAGGCCCAGCTAAAAGAGAACGGTGTCGAGCCCCGCCTACCTCCTGCCTACGGCGCTGCATTGCAACAGCCCTCAAACCCATGGCCCTCTGCTGCCAGCGACGCATCGCCCTGGTCCGATGGCCGCCCCCGCCGAACAAGCTCCTCCCCACTGCCTGGCTATGCGCCTGCCACTACCGCCTCTTCCAAACTTGAACTGCTCCCCCAGTTCAAGCATGGCTCCATTGGCGACAACTACCTCGGCGTCGCCTCTGTACAATCCCCACTGAGCCACATCAAGGGCACCTCGCTCTCCATCTTTGGCACCGACATCGACATTACTGACTTTACCGCCGCCGAGACCGAATACGAGAAGGAAGCCACGTCCTACTCGACCCTCGTCAAGATCGCCATGGGCAACCACCCTGTCGAAACACCCCAGCTGCCGCCCTACAACGAGCTCAACGAGTACGCCATCTGGTACATGCGCTCCATCAACCCATACACCATGCTGGTTCACAAGCCCGCCTTTATGCAATTGGTACCTCCACACCCCGTCTCCACCTTGCTCCTGGACGCCTACTGACAAACGTAGATTTGGAGGATAGGAAACGACCCCAGCTTTACCCCAACAGGACCCGAGACAGTAACAGTCCATATGATGCTCGCCACCATCATGTACCAAATAGCCGTTCGCAACAGCGACCAGGGTGGCAGTACCTTGCTCGACAGTGCCCATGCTCACTACAAGTATGCCCTGACCTTCTTCAAGCAACTCGTCCTCGGCGAACATGGTTGGCAAGACGTCCAAGCATTGGCAATGATATGTCATCATTTACGCACCTTTCCCAAGCCCGGCGCTGCATGGATCATGACCTCGATCGTCTATCTGTTCGCCGTACAGCTTGGCCTACACCGCTCCGTCAAGGTCTGGGAAGACGGCACTGGTGAGCTGACCAAGCTGGACATTGAAATGAGGAAGCGCGTCTTCTGGACCCTCCACGCCATACAGATCAATCTCAATGGAAAACTAGGACGTCCAATGCCTGTTAGCAACGAAGATATTGATGTCGAGTTTCCAGAACCCATGAACGACTGTCTGCCTGGCGAAGAGGCAAATCTGGACACATTCCACCAGTGTTCATTTCAGGTTGGCATTCAGATTGCAAAGTACACGGTCTGGGATCTCGAGCTGTACAAGACAATCTATGCTGTCCGATATTCGCAAAAGGCATACCTCGAGAGCTTGAAACGCCTCGCGGCTGGTATCAGGCAGTGGAAGGATGAGATGCCTTATGAGTTACGCGATCCGTCGCAGGCTGCCGATGATGATTACATCTTCTCGCTCTATTTGCAATACTGGTATCATTCGTACATGTTGCTCTTGCATCATCCCGGCGTATGCAGATCAACCGATGCAGCCATTCTCAATTCGAACCTCGACCAGTGTTTACATGCATCGCAAAAAATACTGCACCACTGCACCGAACTGATGAACAAAAAGAGTCTGGATATCCCCTGGGTCAACACAGTCATCTACATTGCTGCTGCATTTACCACGCTCTTCATTTCAACAACGCGCCAAGATCAAATGACCCCGTCGGACATGACCAAGCTCAAAGACGACATGGCATCCTGGGTGGATCTCCTTGGCGAATGTGACAAGTTCCTAGGCTCGGGAAATCGATTGAAGCTAGCCATTTCGAGAATCGTGGATCAGTCGCTCAGCAAGATCAATGACAGCATCGTCAAGCGAACGGCAACCGAGTCCCTTGCCCACGTTGCCATGCAGGCTCCCGTCCGTTCAGAGTCTAATTCTTCTGTATACGACCAAAGCTCATACCAGGATCAGTACGCCACAACAACTAGCGGGCCTACCGATCCTATTCTATCGTCGCATGCTGCAACATACACGACTCTGCCCATCAACACTGCACACTCATACAACCTCAACACTCAAGTCAGCGTCCCTTCGCAAACAAATCGAGGTTACGACCAGCAAAGTTACAATAGTGGGGACCAAGCGAGTATGAACCCAAATCACGCTGCGGCACTTGCCGCTGCCGCTGCAGCCGCATCGTCAAACAGCGCCATCTCGCAAGCGCCTGCAGACGCTTATGCTTACTCACACGCTCACATGGCCAACACGGCCCACCAACAGCCTACCTACACAACTAACGGCTACGTCGCCCAGGAGTGGACCCAATGGACAAGAGCGTATATGCAACATGCCCACGACCAAATCCAGCAACAACAACAACAGCCTGGTGAATACCTCAACACTGCAACCACACTCATGACGCTGGGCCGCGATGCATCTTCCTCCCATGGCACCAGCAGCGATGGCCAGGGCCTCGTCCAAACATCTGGTGTTCAGAACCATCATCATAATCACCACCACCAGCAACAGCAACAACACCATTCCCATAATCAGCATACACAATCGCATCATTCTGCCCCAGTCCACTGGCCGCAGATTGCTTTTCCGAATGTGACGAGTGGGTCGCATTAAACTCTGGGAAGGCATTGTCTTTTCGCTTTTACGTATCCATTCTGTTCCTCTTGATTCTCTGTCTTCATCTTCTGCTTCGTCTTTTCTTTTCTGTCATCTAGTCAGTGATGTAAAAAATTTCTTTCCATAGATAGTCCAACGGCCGTTTTGAAATCTTTTTTTGTTCTCTTGTTTTTTTTAGCGAGGGGGGCGGGGCTCTAAATGATATCACTCTGGAGGGAAATCTTTTTTTTCTGTTCCCTTTTTCGGGATGGGGTTTTGCGAGGAAACTTGTGGGGGTGAGGTTGGGTGGATCAATCTTTGGGGAATATGGAAGGGGAATATGTGGGTGAGGCGTTCTTTTACTTGTTTTATCGTTTTGAAAACCTCTGTTCTTTGTATTTATTTCGCATAGTCTTTTTTGTTTTTTTTAGTAGGGTTCATTTTTTGATACCAATGCATGGTGGATAGGGTGAGTACCCCTTGTTATCTATTGATTCTCTTTTTACCTCCTTTGTGGGGTAAATGTGTACTCCTCTTCCTACATCTCTCTCTCTCTCTCTTCCTCAATATTTTCTTTCTCTTGTCCAAGTGTACCGTCAATCTTCTATCCCATTTCGGTTTTCCTATTCTCCGCCTTTTTTTTCGTGTTCGTGCGTATAGATGTCTCTTCTTTTGTATGCATCACCCTCTTGTTTTGATACGCTAGACTTCTTCAAGAGGGTTTAAGGCGGCCGTTTTTTAAAAGGTCAGAAAGGAGGAAGATTGAGGGTATGCATGTATGTGTATGTTGTACCCTTTGGTTCGTTTTCTTGTTCTTCTTTTGCAGGCTTTTGGCTTTGCTATACAAAGATTGTGTAGGCTGAGTTGGGAGGAACTGTGGTTGTGATTGTTGTGTACATATAGCATTCTTGCGTACCTTTATAGGCAATGGAGTGTATGTGCTGTATATATATATATATATCTGTGCGTATGCGTGAGGCTTGCAAGTGAGTAGTGTTCGTGGAGTTGTTATGAAGAAGAGTTTTGGTGATGGTGCTGTAAGTGTATGCCCGTATGGGAAGACCTGCTACTGATGTTATTTAGCACATTGATTGATATTTTGATATATGCGGTCTCCACTTCCTGCCCTTTTATGGTATGGGGTTGGTATGATCAGAGAATGACGTTGATTGTTTTCCAGGAAATGCAGCTGAAATAGAGAATGAAGATTTGGATTTTAGTAGCTATTGCTGTGAATTCTGGTGAAGTAGTGGAGGAGAATTTCTGCGAATCAAGGAGAGTGACAGCGTATCCAGAGGCTGAATCTGTTCAAGGTCCTCTTTCGTCCTGTCTGGCCCCATTTGCTATCAGCAATTCCACAACTTCCGTGTGGCCAAGCCACGAGGCTACTTGAAGTGCACTGCCGTATCTACCACCCTCTGCGTTCACATCAGCGCCTCTCTCTATCAATAACTCCACCATATCCTTGACACCTCTACGGCAAGCTAGCTGAAGCGCAGTACCGTATTCACCACCCTTTGCGTCCACATCAGCGCCTCTCTCTATCAATAACTCCACCATATCCTTGACACCTCTACGGCAAGCTAGCTGAAGCGCAGTACCGTATTCACCACCCTTTGCGTCCACATCAGCGCCTCTCTCTATCAATAACTCCACCATATCCTTGACACCTCTACGGCAAGCTAGCTGAAGCGCAGTACCGTATTCACCACCCTTTGCGTCCACATCAGCGCCTCTCTCTATCAATAACTCCACAATATCCTTAAAACCTCTACGGCAAGCTGCGTAGAGTGCAGTACCGTATTCACCACCCTTTGCGTTTACATCAGCGCCTCTTTCTAACAATAACTCTACGATAAGCCTGTGATCCGTCCAACAAGCTGCATGCAATGTCATAAGTTGGTGTCCCAGTATTGGTCCCATTTTAGCGCATTGGTCCAGAAGGAGCCTTATGAGTTCTCTATTGCCAGTGGCAGAAGCCAAGCTGAGAACTTCAATACAGCTCTTAGATGCCAAGTGAATGTTAGCCCCTCTCCGTACTAATTTCAGAGCAAGTGATACATGGTTATTTTCAATTGCGTACATGAGGGGGGTATATCCACGCTGATTTGGAATTGTGTCCCGGATATTGGAATATCTATACGGGACTTTGCTGTTAAGAAGATCTAAGCGATTATCCAAGAGGAACATCGCAATGCTCTCAAACCCTTTTGATGAGGCTATGTGGATTTCGTTTCTACCGGCCTCATCTCGTGCGTCAACATCGGCTCCTTTAAGGACAAGCATTTTGACGATTGGCTCATTCCCGATCGCCACTGCCTCATGCAGCGCTATGTCTAGTGAGAGAAGCGCCAAGCCGTAGATAGGTTTTTGATTGTCAAGTAATAACTTAACAACAGATTCGTAGCCCCGACTCGAAGCTTTAATTAGTATTTGTTGAGTATCAGAATGTGACGATTCAAGGTTACATGTTGAAAATTTAAGCAGTCGAGTCATGACCTGTTCGGGGCATATCTGTGTTGCGTTGAATAAGAAGCTTTTTCCCCGCACGTAAACAAAATTCCGATGACTGTCTCGAATGGAAGTAGTCAATTCCGTACGATAGTCAGACTGTTCACGGTTTGTATCTGTTTGGGGTGGTGCTGAATCAATTGCCGTCAAGAGAACTCGAATCGCTGCGTCGTTTCCAAGGGCAATTGCAGCGAACAAAGGGCAGCCATAGCGCTCTTCTGTGATATCTAGAACTTCACTGAGCGGAACGTGAGACTTGATGAGATTGGCGCAGTCTAGTTCGGCTAAAATATACAGCAGACTAACGGTATGCTGATGCTTACGAATTTTGAAGTTCTCCAGCAGATTATCCAGCAGAACCCAGGTTGCAAGCTGGAATTCGTCCAAAAATGTCGCCTGGGAAATGTGGTGATGTTCTGCCAAATTTGCATGGTAGAAGATGCTGTGGACAGCGTACTCAAGAAGTGGAAACTGCCTTTCCATTGAGAGACGTAGCTCTTTCGATGCCATTGAAGATTGTTCGTGGAGGAAATGGAGAATGTCCGGTGACTTATCTAGGACAACTTTGATGTAAACCCAGGAGCACAGTTTAAGCTTGTCGTGACTTTGGCCCAAGAAGTTGTGCTGATATTCGGGCCAGATTTTTGCTAGTCCATTCTCTTTGAGCAAGAAATCTCTGACCGATTCGTGTATGAATTGAATTTTTTGATTTTTGGAGGCAGTAATATCAGTAAGGCCTTTTGAAGAATCAAGTATGAACCTCTTGATTGAATCTTGATCAACTTCGTCGGGGTCCCATGCGGATACAGCACTAGGATCGATTCCAGAAAATATAGCGTAGTATAACTGCTCGGGACTGAGTGGCTGTTTTGCAAAGAGCACCCATTGAATACACAAGACCAATTGCTCCTTTTTATTTGAGTCTCGGGTGAGAATATCGCGAAATAGGTCGTGTAAGTCGCTGGGAATCTCGTGCAATTTTTGTTGGAGCCGATCCACACGGCCTTGATCTGATTCTTTGTTCAAAATGCCAACAACCAAAACGACCCACATGAAGATACCCGCTGCCTTCTCTCGAACATCGTCTCTAATCTTCTGTGCTTTTTTGCTCTTTCCAATTTTCAACTCAGTTCCAATGTAGTTGATAATGTCTTGATTGTGGCCTTCTTGCCCTTCTAACACCAATTCGAGTCCTTTGCGAATAGTGATATGAGGATAGTGCCTGCTAGAAAAGCAGGTAAAGAAGGGCAAATCCCTTTCTGTTGACAAGTCCCCAATGTGCTCGAAAAACTGGATCATGTCTCGAATCTCTGTTTCGTCACATTCGTCTAACGCGTCGATGAAACATATGACGGGAGCCTTCCCGAGCATCAGGATAGCCTCTTCGAGAAGCATCTTGAGCGATTCCACACTCCACTCGCGATTTTCATCGAAGTCTACTGTTGATGAATAAAGCAAGCTAAAGACGTTCTGCAACTTTGGAAATCTCGTAAGAAGCTGCAGTAACAATGACCGATAGGTTCCTGTTGTAGACTTCTCCATTGCCCTTCCCCGTGCATTGAAGAAGAAAGACAGTGTCGAGCTGCCTTGTACTTCTTTGGGCGCTCTTTCTAGAGCAAACTTCATGAGCGTGGATTTTCCTGCTCCAGCTTTCCCTTTGATCCACAGAAATCCGTGGTGCTCGCTTCTCTTCGCAACTTCAAGCCAATCTAGATAGGGCGCGCTTTGTAAAAGCCATTTGCATGTTTTCGTATGAGCCCTTTTGATCGTGTTTTTCCGTTCGTCAATTTGGTCGAATTCCAGAGACTTTAGAAGCTGTTGTTTCTGCTCGTCGCTCAATGCCCCGCGTGTTGGGTCTTCATTTTGCGGATGATGGAATTGAGCTTCTTTCAGTGGCTGTCGGGTTCGTTCCTGTACTGAATCAATCAGTTCAAATTCTATCGGATGGCAGTTGTTGTAAGTGTACATACATACAACGAGTCCCCGCCTGGAAATATTAGCTATGTGCACAAAGTAGAACTGACTGTAGGTGTCCCAGACTCACTCTTCGAGCTCAGGCACCTGAGCATCAGGGCCCTCGATTTTCCTACGTTTCAAAGACTCACAAGCGGGGCTTGAAGATCGTGCGTCGCGTTCTGTCACAACGTTATTACGAGTTGTGAATGCGAAAAAGAAAGGCTTTTGACACTAACTTCTCGTGTCGTTAATCACATCTTCTACCCTTGCGGTTCTCATCACATGAGCTGGTGGGATCCTTGAAAGAAGTTCTTTAGCATAGGCAGCTGCAGTTGCGGCGGCGTAACCATGCCATTGGTCGTTTTTATGCGAATCTGAATAGTCGCTGATGCCACGGATGACAAGGCAGGGGAAGCTGTTCATGAGACCGGCTGCCTCCATCTCGAAGCATAGAACACCACCGAGTTTTTGGCTAATCTCGTCCCTTTCAGCAGCGCTCTTCATCACTTGGTTGCCTGATGCGATGGTTCCGTGATGCACTACCACTTCTTCTCCTCTTCTGCGCTGGGACCGGACCACTTGTTTATCGGAACAACAATTCTCACAAGTTGGATCGTTTCCGTGATTGTAGGATGCATCGTACAGCACATCTGTACTGGATTCACACCGCCGCAAAGAAGGGATGTGCTGGGTTTTTGAGAGTATGCTGAGCAGCTTGCTCTCGCCGATCAAAGCGTCAGATTCTAGTGCGCCTGCTGCACTAAGCAAGATCTGGGGTGGTGAGTCCAAGCTTCCTGTTCTTATGATGTCTGTTGGTGTCGTCTTTCCCATATCGTATTGGACTACCCCTCCGAAGGTCTTTTGTGGTGCACTGACAACAACATCTCCAAGTCGAATATCTGCTTGCCCGCCTGGTACACCTCCACCGATGCCTACCATGAGTCCAAATCTGATTCCTTGGAACTTGGCTTGCATCCGTGTTGCCAACGTAGCTGCGGAATTCGTCCCAGTACGCCCCGGTAGGCAAGCGATAACAACATTGTGGCCGGCTATCGAACCCGTGAAATATATGTCATCCCACTTCTCGCCTGGTTCGGGATCGGGGGCATCATACTTTTCGTCTAGCATCGATCTTGCCGCTGCGGACTCGATGGGCAGTGCGCATACCCATCCTACAGTGTACTCTTCGCGGCGAGGCTGACGTGGCATTTGCTTTCATTTCGTTCCAGAAATTCTCTTTAAAGATACATTGGTTTGCGAAAGTTACTAGTAGAGGATATTAATCATGGACGTGACTCTGTGACGAAGTAGTAGTGGGGAACAAACAACAATGCAAAGAGTTGAACACAGAAATCCAACAGACGCGGAACCCGTCGCAACAAGTATCCAGTATATTTCCCAGCCCACGGCTAATCTCTTGGCGAGCTGAAAGGCGCATTGCGCATAGCCAGGAGCGTGATGCAGAAGGCGACATGGCCACCCAGGCTGTGGTTGGTAGTAAGGATAGCTGCGCCATCAGCGCTAGCAGGCGAAGAAGACTACCGAGTCGTTCATTGGGCAGCCTCGCACACCATGGATGCGCATCCATAACTGACCGGTTTTCCCATGCATCTACCATCTTTTGCGCATTCGCTGGTATGGCGCTTCGTGGTGGCATAGCCCATCAGCTGGCCTTGGCATATTTATAACAGGTTGACTGGAGCAAGTGGCATTCTATCTTCATGTTCTCCGCAAGCATGTCAAACTCTCGTGGGCCTCCAATGAATACGATTGATTTAATGAGATTATGTGAGAGTGTTCCTTACACTTTATAAGAAATGAATTGACTGTTGCCTAGCCGCCGGATGCTGGAACTCACATACTGAACGATTGGATTACTGTCTCCGCGTATGATACTTCTTTTGCGCTCCTGTATACCACGCTAAACACTTGAATAGGATCAAGATGACCCCGAAAAACAGTATCTGTACTTTGTCGTTCTCCCAGAAAGTTACGATCGACATTGACCAGATCCCAGTTTTATACAGGACGATCCATTTTCCTACAGTGGCAGCGGAAAATTGCAGTCGGAGCTGATTCGATATTTTCAAATACCCCAGTATCTCCTGGCCGTCACATATAGGCGCTCCAATGGGTTCTTTGCTTTCAAGGAATCGCGAGGTCAAAATGGCCAGCGCGAATCATGCTGTGAGGGCAGGTTAAATTTAGGCACCAACTCAACTGACTTCTCACAGACATGTGGTTCCGCGTAGAAATCAAGATCATTGATGACAGCAGCGGTATGCGCTATCACTGGCATGAGATGACATTTTGTTACCGGTGGGATTCGAAGAGCTGCTCCATTTTGTGCTTGGGAGTAGATGCTTCATTCAGAAGCTGTCTGCAAGAAAAGCTACAACAAATATGGCCTGATATACAAGGATCACAGCCTGGCTGCTTGCTTGTACCACTGATAGAGGTTCTTGTTATAACGTACGATCAATCGGTATGGTCGATGCGAGATATCGTGCGACAAGCCGAAAAGGTAAGCTACATTGTCGCTACGAATGTTATGCCTAGGGTTAACATAACATATCTTAGAACCGTACGCATTCAACTCGCGGCATAACCCAATCTGAATTGCTTTACGAAGCAACGAGACACGCCATCCACTCCTCAGAGACTCTTGAGGCGGCACTTAATACTCTAAGTAGCATCCAGCACGAAATCGCAAGCCAATCGATGCGATCACCGTCGATGCCGTGCGATGTACAAGATTTAGCTGAGTCGATCAACAAACGACTCGACTTCCAGGTTCGCATGCTTCGAAATCTTCACCTACGAGCCCAATCAAACAAAGAGAGGGTGCAAAATGAGAATGTATATGTAAGGCATGGATATTTCTTCTTTAAAGACGATGTTACTAACGTGTTGTCAGGCTTTCAACATGGCCACACAGCGTGACAGTCAGATCATGAAGGAACTCGGGGTAGCAGCAACAGAAGACAGCAGTGCGATGAGAACTATCGCTGTAGTTACCATGTTCTTCCTGCCGCCGACATTTATTTCTGTGGGAGTTCTCGACGCCAATGGCAAATATCCGCTAACCATACATAGGCTGTTTTTAGCATGAGCTTTTTCAATTACACGCCGCCTCAAGATGACAAGGCAGGCAAGTGGTCAGTATCGGAGAGGTTCTGGGTTTATTGGGCATTTGCGATACCCCTAACAGCGTTGACTTTGGGGATTTGGATCCTACGACAGAGATGGATGCAGTGGCGCTATTGGCTCAACTCCTTCTAATGGCATATGCTGTTTGTTCACGAATCTCCCACAGCACCTATAGATACTTTGATACCTCTCAGTATTCTTTATGCAGATGTCAGAAGTTTCGGTACTCGTATATACATATCTACCCTGGCAAGCATACATATCTACCCTGGCAAGCCAGAGATCACCAGACGTAGATCTGCACTTCCAACAGCAAGCTTAGCATCAATCCTCCTCCAGCACTCAAGCTAGAACCTACTATCTATGCGCATCCATCTATGCTCGAGCCGCATTGCAAAATAAGATTTGCAAGGCGCGTAGCCAAGATCTCGCATCCGCAACCAATGCTAGCAAACTTTACTTCGTAATGCATGTCAGCGATCTACTGCGCTTACCGGGGGAATCCTCGTACGTATCTACAGACGCGAAGATGATGATCAGGATCTACACGGGATAGCTCTCCCAGCCGTTCACTAGCAAGAAATGACATGTTATTATTGGCAATTTCAACGGATGCTATTCGGCGTGTAAGATAGTTCTTACCCACCACCGCGACCTGTACCACCTTTTAACCAATGGGCTGGATACATAATTTCAGCCTGCAACCATACGTAGTCCTTGCATTTCGATTTCAAGGCATGTTGATTGTCAGTGCAGGGTGGAAGATGGGGGACCCTTTGCGGCTTTGCCCGGAAGATGGCGGGCGTCAGCGCAATTGTACTACTAGGGCTTATGTGGGAGTTCATTTCCGATTCGGGAATTGAAATAGGAGTGAACTGAGGTTGCAGTCTTCCCTCTGCGATCTATATGTAAAGTGGAGTCGCCCTTTTTGCTTTTCTTAGACGATCGCTCTTTTGTCGCGGTGTTTGGAGATCTGCGCCGGGTCTGTGAGGATTCGATTCCACTCGTTATTTACTATCGGACGAATTGGTTCGCTTTGTTTAATTCTTTCACTCGTCTAGGAAACCTTATCGGAAAAAAAAATGCGGTCTTTGGCATCGACAGCGGCGCTCATGCTTGCGCTGGGGCAAGGGACAAATGCTTGGGGAGTACGCATGCAGACCAGGCCCCTTTGGCCTACATGGGCCTTGATTTGGGCACTGGAAGTTCCAAATCCGTTAATTCACGAGACACTCAACCTCCACCAGTCGATGCGAGGACTGTCGAACTCCCTCTTAATCACTTTGGACCGGACGCAGGTACATTTCCCAACAGATACTGGGTCTATTCGGAAAAGTACAAACCAGGCGGTCCCGTTTTCATCTATGACACTGGTGAAAGCGATGCTGAACCAGGCAGCGTATTCTTTCCAAGCGACCCACGTAGCTTCTTCCACCAGATTGTAGAAGAATTTAATGGCATCGGCATTGCCTGGGAACACCGAATGTATGGCAAGTCGGTACCCGCAGGATTTCACAACGATACGTCACTGGACCGCTTCAAATACTTAACTGTTGAACAGGCACTTGCGGATGTTGACGCTTTTGCGAAGCAGTTCAGCTTGCCTTATATCAATGCGACACTCTCTGCCGATCACACGCCGTGGGTTTTCATTGGCGCCTCGTACTCAGGAGGAAGAGCTGCTTGGGTGCGCAACAAATACCCAGATAGCATCTATGCATCCTGGGCCGCGTCACCTACCGTTGAGGGCATGGTCGATTTGAGTTCTTATTTCGATGCAATATGGGCTGGAATGAACTACTACGGCTTTGGGAACTGTAGTCAGGACATACACGCTGCGATCCAATATATAGACCACATCATGGACACGAACCTGCAAGCTACTGCCAAACTCAAAGAACAATTTCTCGGTGTTGGCAATGGTAACGCCTCGAATTCGGATTTCGTCTGGGCATTGGAGGATTTGTATAACGACTGGCAGAGATACGGCATGAACGGCCACAGTTTCTCCCTCCGGAAATTCTGTGATATGCTGGAGACGGATCCTAGGACAAACCGGACGGCACCAAAGGATGGCTGGGCACCGACCAAGGGTGTCAAATCGGTGGTGGACAAGTGGGCTGTCTACCGCGGGAATCTCAACGCTGCGGCCAATGCGCAATGCGCAAACAATGGGACAAGTTCAAACAATTGCTCGTCTGATGATCAGACGGTAGACCCTAACTATGTTTCCTGGAGGTGGCAGGCTTGCACTGAATGGGGTATGTCACAGCTGTCTCCTCGATATTCTTAGCTAGTACTGACCAAACACAGGGTACTTTCAATCCGCCAATATTGGGCCTCACCAGTTGGCTTCCAAGTATGTCAGTCTAAAGCTAGTGCACGATAGCTGTCATCAACTTTTCAACTACCCACCGCCTTCTGTATTCCCAGAGTGGCCCAAGGTGCAGGAATTCAACAAGGCCTTGGGAGGATGGTATATACGCCTTTCAAACACATACTGGTCAGGTGGAGAATTCGATCCTTGGCTTCCTACTGGTCCTCTATCTACACAGCCCAATGCTCCAAAAATCGAGATTACGCAGGATATCCTCAAATGCGGAGTGAGTACTGGGAAAGATAAGGTGTTTGGTAAGGTGGTAAAAGGTGGGGTCCATGCGTCTGATTTCAACACACCGGGACTTGGTTTCACTATCGTCCCCGATTCAGTCACCAGCCGGGATCTTTTCAAAAAGGCTCTGAAAGAGTGGTTGCCCTGTTTCCGTCCAAAGAACAAAGCTGCAAGGTCATTCAAAGCATGAGCCCGAGTCGATGGGACACCTTCGTTCTTTTCTTAGCCCATCCATACAATGTGTAATTCACCAATACTTAAAGCTTCGAAGCTTGAGGACTCATGGCTTTCTTGCTTTCCTGTTCCTTCACTCGAGTCTCCCAATCCCATACTTCACCAGTAAACTGATCCTTTTCCCAGCGCTCATATATCCTCTTCTTCTCTTCCTCACACCCAGCACGGCACATTGCGCTCCAAACCTCCAACTGCTCTTTAAAGCCAGGATTTGGATCGCAAATCGGCCTTCCCTCGCATAATTGCTCCAACGCCGCTTCAGGGGAGATGTTGTATTTCCAAATCAAGTACGCGCAGACAAGAGTGGCGGACCGTGACTTGCCCATTGCACAGTGCACGAATACGCCACCCCCGGACGCGACGTTCCCCCCTTTTGAGGGTGAGATCTTAGCGTCCGCGGCTTGAGGCTTGCCAGGAGTCAGCGGGGAAGAGGTTAGCGCCTCATCGATATATTTGACACCACCCTCGAAAAACTGCAAGAGATTGGTGTTGGGATGATCCTCGGCATGGATATGGAAATGTCTCAGGTGCCGGAATTTCTCTTGGAGCAATGCGTCGTAGTCGATGACCGATAGTACGTGTGTTATGCCCGCTGCTTCGATGAGGTCGGTCTGGTACAAAGCGTATAAGCCGCCAATGTAGATACGACCGCAGCGGGGTACCAGGTCGACCCAGCCCATTCCAGTATAAGATGTGCTGCCGTGGAGGAGGTACGACATTCAGGATTGTGGTGTGGAGAGTCAACGCGTCGATCTTGGAGTTTGAATCTGGGGTGAGAGTCGTGGGTAGAGCAAGTTCAGGAAGGGATAAGCGCAGGCAAAGTACCGAGGCTGACTGGCGAGACATTTTGGGGTTGCCGAACAGGGGCCGGTATGGCCCCGGTGCGATGATTTTCACATACGGCGATTCATTGTGCATGGTTCGATGGCTCACATCTAATGAGTGGCAAGTGTACGTTGATGGAGGCTACTGTTGTGGCTATGAATGATACGGTCACGTGCTTTGAGCGAGAGTAGGACATGGGACATGTCGTCCATCGAAAGTTCGTATAGGTGTTCTTATTTTAATTGTCTTGATCTTGATATGTACTATGCGTCCCATTAAGACCAGCGCCGCCAAGGTAACCTATGTCATGTGACTATCAGCTTGCCGTGTGTAGACAGGCATTGGGATATCCCTTTCTACCCAATGTATACTATCGTCAGGTTTCAGAATACACGAATGAATCTTTTAGGACTTCTCCTTTTTTAGATAGTCCATGAATCCAATACTTTGCGGATTAGTTCCTCAATTGGTGGCCGGTAAGCTCATTATGTAGCCAGGTATACCCATTGTCTTCTTCAGCCAAACAGCCACTTGCAACTCCTTCCGCTCATGTGTTACTATACCTTCTCGCACTCATTCTACAGACAATTCATTGCAATGAAGTCACATATCGCATTGTTAAACCTACTTTGTCTTTCAGATAATAATTCTTCATTTTCTTCGGTACCCAACTGCCAAAGCAAGACACAGATCAATGGCAGCACCAATTCCCACAGAAGTGTACTATTCTTTTTCATGTTTACCTGATCTCCCGCTACCAACAAACCAGGGTGGGATAGGCTTGGGTCAATGCTTCAACCCCGGTCAAGGAGAGCCACTGTATTCCCCGCAGTGGATTCTTGAGCCAAGTACATGGGGACTTGGTGGACTAAGTAAAATACTGTGATGAAAAGTAAGCCCAATCGAAATAAAGCCGCTGTTTGCAGTTAGCTACCTTTACTACCACGTACTTGGAAAGTTAGTCCTATATACTAAAGTGCTAAAAGCTTACATGCAGATTAATATACTACAAGAAGAAAGCCCGTCTAGTTGTACAATACTAGCTGGTAGTTGCATCGTATTGAGGGTGCGCTATTTGGGTGGGGTCAGTTTTAATCCGGGTATTTTGGTCCACCAAGAGCACGGGGATGAAGTGCGGGGAATACGCATTTAGTGTGGTGCTGGAAGCCCCAAAGATGAATCTAGTCTTGGAGGATACTACAGTAGACTTGGTAGTATTCGAGTAGTGACATGGGCGCAACGATGAAAACATGGCCTAGGGGTAAGTAGCTAAGTCGTAGTGTATTGAGGCTTCGTTTTTCGTAACAAGTGCGGCATGTGAGCCGATTGCTGTTTCTGTTTCGAAACTTTAGCGTGATTAGTGGCAATGTGTCAAATATGCCGAAGAGACGGCGTTGGGGTGCTTGCATGGCAGTGCTATTGCATGTATGCAAGGTTTGCTGGTCATGGGGTGGAGGATATATCACGCACACGCACGCGCTCCTCGGCTGAGCACGTGCTCGGTTTCGACCAAGATCCGGCCAAGAGACAGAAACTCAACACGCGAAAAAAAAAACTGAAATGAGGTCTCACGATGGGCGCAACCGCACCCTGGGTTACTCGTAGTGACGTCGTCTAGAAGTCCAAGGCCTGGTCCTTCAAGCGTGATGGCAGGGATGCAGGTGGAGCGGGTCGGGTGGTTGCTGCAGGGTGTTCCAAACATAGGGCGTATCGATTGTGAAGGCGTTAGTGGTACTGTGGGCAGTCAGTATCTGCAGCGAGAGAACCAATGCAGGGCGGCAATGACACGGTAGCACGAAGACGTTGAAATCCGCCGGTATGTAACATGCCGTGTCCAAGGCAAGTCATCAGCGCAAAAGACGAAACGCGCCGCTCGCCATTGGCAGCATCGAGGGCCTGGGACGGGCTGCTGGCGTGGACGGCTGGGTCGCTAACACTCAAGGGATTCATCGGCCGACTCAAGCGGCTAGTCAGAGGCCGCAAGGGGCATGGCGCAATTCCATATTGATGCGCCACCTCGTACCCCAGAGTAACCCCTTCCTTCTTCAAGAGGAAGCTGGCCGCCCATTCATGCCCCTTCTCTACTCCTCTCCCCCCCTCGGGACCACTCTCGCTTTACCAACCCGCCGTTGTGCTTTCTTTCTTTTTTGCATCTGCCACCAACGCTCGCTACTCGAAACGGGGCCATAGGATAGTAGTCAGGGCACTAATTAATCGTCGTATTCCTCTCCACACCTTTTGCTCTCGGAACGGGCCTTCACGCGGATCGCCATCGTGCTTACGGCCGTCATCGCCAAAACCCTGGGAAAGCGTTCCCCGCGAACATTTGCGATAGCCTTTTGGCCGCGGTCCGACTCCACTGCGCGTCAGCTTACCATTACCATATCGACAACTGCACAAGGGAATCGGAATCATGATCCGAGCCGTCGTCTCTGCCGCAATTGCTGCTGCTGCGTTTGCAGGCTTCGCCAACGCAGCCGGTGCCAAATGCACAAAGGATAGCCATTGCCCAAAAGAAACGCCCTGCTGCTCGCGTGCGTGCTTCAATTCTACAAACTAAGCGATTGCATGCTAACAGCCATGCAGTCTATGGCGATTGCGGTGTCGGCGCTTTCTGCCTTGGTGGATGCGACCCGCTCATGTCGAATACCTTTGACTCTTGCGTCCCCGGCCCTGTATGCAAGCCCGGAACCTATTCGCTCGACAGCCTCAACGACGTTCAACGTATTGAAAATTACCTCGGCGATGCCTCCAAGATCAACTGGCAGTCGCAAGGCGACCCTACCCCATACACTGATCCTGCTACGGGCAGCAAGGCGACGCTCTTGACCATGGCTCAAGGATCAAGTGGAACACTGTTGGCATCTACCCACTATGTCTGGTACGGCAAGATCTGCTCAAAGGTCAGCAGTGCACAGGGCAAGGGTGTCGTGACTGCCTTCATTCTCATGTCGGACGTTAAAGATGAAATCGATTTTGAGTGGGTGGGTGCCGACATCAACAACGTCCAATCAAACTACTACTCCCAGGGCGTGACAGTCTGTGAGTTTTCCCCTTTGCCTTTTGTTCGGCTTCGCAAAATGAAACTAACAAATACCAGACACCAATGGCAAAAACCTGACAGTCCCCAATGGCAACGCAGTCGAGAAGGAGCACAAGTACTGTATCGACTGGACAGAGGACACACTCACTTGGTCCGTCGATGACCAGGAATTGCGCAAGCTCGAACGCAGCGATACATGGAACAGCACTGCGGGCCGATTCGACTACCCGCAAACCCCTGCCCGCGTCATGCTCTCCCTCTGGCCCGCCGGTCTCCCCACCAATGCCAAAGGTACTGTTGATTGGGCAGGTGGTGAGATTGACTGGAACAGCCCATACATGGTCAACGGTTACTACGCAGCCCGCTTTTCCGAAGTCACAATCGAGTGCTACGACCCCCCGCCACAGGCGCAGATCAAGGGAAAGAAGACGTACAAGTACACGGATAAGGCCGGAACCAACAACACGGTTGCCATTACCGACGACGAGGTTATCCTGGGCTCCCTCATGGGTACTGGCGAGGACCCAGGCGAGGCGGTAAAGAGCGGGAGCAGCGCCCAACCATCGGCATCCGTGGCAATGGTACCCGGTGGCAACCCTGGAGGCGGAGCGGGACATGATGCTGGTGAGACGGTTGGCCCAACTGCACCGGGTGCCAACGCGCAGCCTACGGACGCGGCAGCGGGAAGCAGTGGCGGAAGCTCGTCTGGCGGAGGCGCCTTTGTCCAGGGTGGAAGTAGCACTGGTTCTACGGGCGCGGCGACAACGGTTCAACCAGGTCTCTCTCGTATGAGTGGCTCTGTGTGTGCCATTGTCATTGCTGTTTTGGGACTTTTGGTCTTGTAATTATTCCCTTCCCGTTTTGATACCTTTGTTTACTACCCCAGCATTTGATGTGCCATGCCAATCTCTCTTTTTTGCCAAGACATGGACATGCTTTTTTTCTAAACCAATGCATGACCGTTTTTTGCTTGCTTCTTTTGGGTGACGCAAGAAGCTTGCAGCTGGTACCTGGCTAATGTCTTTTCTTTTTCTTTTCTGGTTTTACTCATTCCTTGGGCGCTTGAATAAACCCCCTTGTTTCTCTCTGACTTTGCATATGAGGATAAAAGGGGCAATGGTTGGCGAGAAGGCAGGTGAATCAAGCCGCGGAGAATTGAATATTATGCCAATTAGCAGAGACTTGGGTCACATTGTGTTCTCATTTCTGGTCAGCAAATACCCCATGCTCTTGTCTTTACTACTCTTCGTAATTTGTAATCTCTAATCTTGACATTTATTATGTCCTCGTCACCTTTGTTGATGCTGCGCTTTGCGAAGGAGGTCGTCAATCGGGTTTCCTGCTGAGTCAAAAAAACAATTGCGCGTGTGATTTCTCATGTTTGCTTCAATTCGAAGGCTTGGCGTAAGCTCAATATTAGCATTGCTGCTGCCTACTATCTCACTATCGGTCTTACGCACCGCATCTCGTTATCTGTACTTTCTTGGCCATACTCTCATATGCAAATCACGTAAGTGGAGATGGTGGTGAGAAATGTTCACGGCTCCTACAACTGCAACTCCGCGGAAGGGTACCTCACCCCATGTTAGATTTGCCATTACGCCAATTGAAAGATTTGAGGCAATCACAAGAGAACTCGACGTAACACGATTCATGACGAAGTTTTACATGCTCCGCTCCCATCTTACTAGGCGCATTAGAGCAGCCAAGTGCGAGCCTACGAACGTAGGCGAGCTGAGTAAGTAGCAATACCCTGCCCGCCAATGCTTACACTCCACATCTCCACACTCAACTTCAGCAACTTTGTCTGTTTTGGGCAGTGATGCAGTCTCGGCGCTACCATTGACCCCGCCATTGAAGGAAGGGTTGTGATACGAAAATCATGATATAACTAGAGTTTCTTGCTGCACTGCTTCTCCAGGCTCCTCCACAACGTCTGGATGCACCTCCCAGACTCTGTCATCCATCGCAATGGCTGCTGCAATCTATGCGATATTCGCGGCTCTACTCGCTGCAGCCATTTATCGGCTAAGTAAGGTTGGTCAAAGGCCAAAGGGGTATCCGCCAGGACCCCCGACTCTACCACTTATCGGCAACCTCCATCTCATGCCAAATGAAAAACCTCATCTGCAATTCAAGAAGTGGGCGGAGGAATATGGACCGGTTTATTCGCTCATGCTTGGTACATGGACTTTGATCGTTCTTGCGTCGGATCAAGCTGTCAAGGATCTTCTAGATAAAAGGAGCGCAATCTACTCGTCACGCCCTGACCATTATCTTGCTCAAGTAGCAAGTGGGGGTCTTCGTTTCGCACTGATGGTATGTTAAACATTTATTCTAATGTCAGAAATGCTGACATACTCAGCCTTATGGCGATCCATGGCGCATGATCCGCAAGATCGTACACAATAATCTCAACATCACGGCTACAAAGTCTTACGTGCCGTATCAAGACCTTGAGAGCAAGGCTTTACTTGTTGAGCTACTGGATATGCCAGAGTTGTTCATCGATCACCTTCGACGCTACACGCACAGTCTGACAACGCAAATGGTATTTGGGTTTCGGACTCCCAGCATTGATGATCCCAAACTGAAGCAACTCTTCTGGGTAAGTTGTACATATAATAGTGCAACTGTTACTGACGCTACTACAGGGAATCGAAAAGTTCTCTCAGGTACATGGTAAAACATCTGCAGCACTGCTTGATCTATACCCCGTACTACGATCACTGCCGGATGCTGTGCTTTCTGAGAGGAGACACGCCAAGCAGCTACATGAGAAATCGAGCGAATTATTTGTTGGACTCTGGCTAGACGTCAAGAAGGCTATCAAGATTGGAACTGCGAAACCATGTTTCTGCGTAGATCTAGTGCGCGCCCAAGAAGAAGAGAATATCTCAGATGAGCTCGCTGCATATATCAGCGGTTCGATACTTGAAGCTGGCTCCGACACAACGGCAGCAGAGCTCGTCAGTTGTACGTGCTCTCTCCATATCCCATATCTCAAACTAACATATCACAGTCACCCAAGCCATGATTTTGTTTCCCGAGGTAGCAAAAGCTGCGCAGGAAGAACTTGATCGCGTGTGCGGCCAGCGCCTTCCTACAATCGAGGACTGGCCAAATCTACCGTATATCCACGGCTGCATCAAGGAGACCTTACGATGGATGCCAACCGTCATTTCAGGGGCACCTCACGGGCTAATCCGCGATGATGAATACATGGGGTATACGATTCCAAAAGGTGCAGGTGTCCTACCAAACAGCTGGGCCATTCACAACGACCCCAAACGGCATCCCGACCCCCGCCGCTTCGACCCAACACGCTACATACACGACCAGTCAACCGCCGCAGAATCAGCAAACAATCCCGATCCCACAAAGCGCGATCACTTTGGCTTCGGCGCCGGACGCCGCGTGTGCCAGGGCATGCATGTTGCCGAACGGTCCTTGTTCCTGGCCATATCGCGCCTCCTATGGGCCTTTGACTTCCGCCCTGCCCACAATGAAGCTGGCGAAGAAATCATTCCTGATCCGGAAGATCTGACAGAGGGAACGCTTTCTCAGCCGAAGCCGTTCCCGGCTAGTATTACGCCGAGAAACAAGGAGAAGGTTACGCTGATTAGAGAGGAATGGGGGAAGATGGAGGCGCTGCTTGATGAGGAGCGGCAGTGGAAGATTTTGCCTGAAGGACTCAAATGGAAGGATGTCAAGAACGTCTCTAAAGAAGCTTGAGGTGGCGTATTACTAGTATGTAAGAAAAACGCTACTATTGATCTTACATTGCCAGTCCTTGCTCATGCGTTGTCCTATCATATATATATCCCAAGACCATTTCCCATCTTACTGCCCCGGACTCCGATCAATCCACTCAGTATTCCCAAACTCGCCCGAAAACGGATACTGAAATACCGTCTCCACCGTCTTATAATCCCCATACTCCCTCTCCCCAAGCACAACAGTAACATTACTCTGCCTCCGTGCTGTCTCATTCCACCCCGGCCCATAACTCTTATACTCGGCCATGGTCGTATTAACGCCCACACGCGGATCCCCCGTACTCCACCGTATATACCCCGCCGGCAACACCGAATCATCCATGTCGCAATTCGCAAAGAGAGACCGGTGCAGCGCATTCCAGGGCCGTCCCAAGGCGCACTTGCCCTGGATAGCTAGCGTATCGTTTTCTTTTCTGAGCTGCGAATCGTGGATATACACCCCGTACCGATTCTCAAACGTCGTGTTCGTCCCCTTCCACGCCGTAATCCCGCCGCTGCAGCCGCGTAGCGTAAGGAGACTAGACTGGATCCACGCGGTACCAAACCCGTACAGGAAATCAGTCTGGCCCGCGATTTCAGAGTCGTAGATGTATGCGTTGCCGAGTTTGCCAATGTACAGTGTATCTTGGTAGGAATGGAATGCGCAGTAGTAAAAACCACTGTTTGCGTAGCTGACGGAGATTGCCAGGGAAGGGCCCGCGGTATAGGGTAGGTAGTCGTTTGTGAAGTTTAGGTTGTAGGCGCGGAAGTCGGTGTTGCCGAAGGGGGTGGTTGCGGGGACGGGGAAGCCGGTGGGGCCTGTGCCGGTGAGGCTGGCGTTGAAAGTTGGGGCGACGGTTAGGACCGAGGTGTAGGCGTTGTCGAGGGTCGAAAGACCGGCGCCCGTGGCGTTGTGCCAGAGGATATTGACGGTGTTTTTAGTCCGCGTTTCTGGCTGCGCGGTTTGGCCGAGGAGATAGACGGGGCCGGGGCGTGTGATGTTGACTTGTTCAGTGTAGGTGCCGGGGAGGATGAGGATGTTGTAGGGGGTTTCGTCGTGTGGGAGGCTTAGGACGGCGGATTGGATGGTTGAGAAGTTGCTTCCTTTTCCGACGAGGAGCGTGTTTTGTGGACATCCGTCGAGAGGTTTTGGGGTGGGATACTGGCATGCTTTTCGGCTGGCTGCTGGTATGGCAGCACACACCTGGAGGAAGCCAGCGAATATCATCGCCAATCGCATCTTGGGAGTTTGCATTGCAAGATTCGATCTGCTGTGGTACGCTTTGAGGCTTGGCTGGCGTTCCTTTTAAAGTAATTCGGTCTCGTATACTTGCGGCTATCATGGTTTACCATGTTCCGTTTGATCATCATAGTTTCGGTAATTTGGAGTGACTCTAACTGCAAGTAATCCTCTAGTTAAATTTCCGACCAATACCTGTTATTACGGTAGATTTAAGTTTGTAAACGCGGGGATGGCTTATGCGGAAAAATAGGGGAAATTTGGGGAAGGGAGGGTGGAGATAATCCACCAATGAGCCCAGATGCTAGGAGAACCGGAAAACGATTTCATGGTTTGATGAAGAACTGATGATGCGAGGTATCGAATACTTGAAAACATTCGGGCTGCTGCTATCATGGTCAGAAATTGAACGCAAACCATGCATTGCCATGAAACCTTTTGTGGCGTCGTCCAAGCATTAGGGTAAGCTTCTATGGTACCTGCGCTTAACGACACCGCGGTGCGCCCAAATCTAACACAGGTAGCGGTCAGACTTGATAGCTGTTTTCAGGCCAGTCACAGACGATGTGTGACACGGGTCAAGCGAATATCCTTGAGTTTAATCGCTTCGGCTTCGCGGTGACATTGTCGAGTTTCTTCTAAATGAGCTATCTTACTGCGTGGTCGGTCGAGAAGTCCGAGTCGCGGCAGAATGGCGCACTAGTGCTTACAAGGCAAATTTTCATCAGGTGTTCTGTAAGCAGTAGAACTTTGTTATGTCGCAGTAAAGCCGATGCATTGGTAGCGGTGTGTATCGAGTAGCCATGCGCTCGCAGTACTGGGCGAGAGCGCCGTCTCTTGGTCGCCTGGTGAAGCAAGAAAACAGAGAGTAAACTGGTAGTAAAACTAGGTGTTTGGAATAGGTACTAGTAAGGGAGTCTGTTAGTCTACATATGCATCGAGGAGCTAGCATCAAATGCACTATTACCTTTTTCTAGGTTCACGCACCTTGTGTAAGTGTGAGCTGAGCTTACTGTGGGTACTTCACATGATTAATCCTGGCAGGTTTCTCGGCATGCCTAGTCTTGCAGACGGAAACCATAAATGTGTTGGAGAGACTAATTCGGAGGCTTACCGAGAGGGTGTGCAGACTCCATCTCCATCTCCACCGAAACACCAACACCACTCCGCTTCCAAAATCCTGTTGCAAGCTGGCGTAGGGTAGCAGCACGTCTCAACACGATCCTACGTTACATATCTGATCGATGAGCTGCCAAGAATGCGTCGCATGTGACTGATGTCCGCGCCTCGCACCGTCAGCGCCCATCATAGCTAAACGGCCACGCCGACGTCCTGGCACATGGCCATTTGTTGGTGAACAGCCCTCTTAAGGCAGTCCCTACTGCGATAACGAGTGGCTAAAAGCAGTTCGTTAACGCCAAGAAGTGAGCGCGACAAGCTAATAGTGCCCAGAAATCACGACATCGCACGGTTCGATGATGCGTGTGGCCGAGAAGGTATACCAAGAGGCTTGAACCCATGGAATTGGCTCACCTTCCCCATCCAGGGTCTTGGAACGAGCGGACTCCTGGCACCGCAAGACATTCACGCCCCAAAAGCTCACTTGTTATGTTGATTGCGACATAGAAAAGAAAAAATCGTAATCTATCTCGCGTGGCATCCTTGAGCCACACTATCGCGTCACCATGTAACCTTGCATTTAACTTGCGGGCTCTGCTCTACAAGCATAGTCGCTGCACTTCAACCCCAATCATGGCGATCGAGCACGACGACGGAACGAAGGTGGTGCATTGCACCAACGAGGACTCACCGTCCTCGCCCTCACCCCCGGTGTACGAGGACGGTAGCGTCCAAGAAGACAATGCCTATGTCTACGATGATTCGCAGAAGCTGGGATACACGGCGACGGTGTTTGTCATTCTGAACAAGATGATCGGCACTGGAAGTAAGTACAGCCAGTCGCACAATATCAGCATGTAACTAACTGTGATCAGTCTTCTCAACACCTTCCGGTATCTTCGCCGTGACGGGATCGGTCGGTGTATCGCTTTTTCTCTGGATCATCGGTGGTATCCTTACTTTTTGCGGACTCTCCGTCTTCCTAGAATTTGGACTGGCAATCCCCCGCTCCGGTGGCGAAAAGAACTATCTCGAGCGCGTTTACCGCCATCCCAAGTACATGGCAACATGTGTTTTGGCCGCGCAGATGTTGCTTCTTGGATTTTCATCCGGAAACTCGCTGGCTTTTGGCCGTTACGTTCTTTTTGCATCTGGTTCAGAAGCGCCTGATGGCTGGGCGGCGCGTGGTATTGCCATTGCCTGCGTAACCTTCTCGGTCACTCTCCATGCTGTCTTGCCAAAATGGGGTATCCGCCTTTTTAACGTCCTAGGAATATTCAAGGTCTTCATCCTTTTGTTCATTGTCTTTTCTGGCTTCGCTGCCCTTGCCGGTCACCTGAAGATCGAGAAACCGAACAACTTCGATAACGCATTCCGCCTGGAAGTCGGCGACGGATATGGTGGAGGAGGCGCATACGGATACTGTCAAGCACTCCTTCGCATCATCTACTCATACAAGGGCTGGGAGAACGCCAACTATGTCCTCGGAGAAGTCAGGAACCCCAAGAAGACTCTTAGCTGGTCCGCACCTCTTGCTATTGGCGGAACCACGATTCTGTACGTGCTTGCGAACGTAGCTTACTTTGCCGCGATTCCCAAGTCCGACCTTGCAAAGAGTGAAGTCATTGTTGCCGGTCTCTTCTTCCGCAATGTCTTTGGTAACAGCGCTGGAGCACGCAGTCTTCCAGCTTTCGTCGCCCTCAGCAATCTGGGTAATGTTCTTGCAGTCAGCTTTGCGCATGCTCGCTTGAACCAGGAATTTGCAAAGGAAGGATTGATGCCTTGGAGCCGATTTTGGGCATCAAATAAGCCATTCAACGCTCCTGCGACTGCTTTGTTCCTGCATTGGCTTATCACCGTCATCATTCTGGTTGCTCCTCCCGCTGGACCCGCATACAACTTCATCACGGATCTTTACACCTACCCTGGCGCCTGGATCAACGGTTTCGTCACGGCAGGTCTCATCTACCTCCACTATTCCAAGTCGGAGCGCTGGGAATCTCCATGGCACACCTACCTTCCCATTGCTCTGCTCTACTTGGCCGCAAATATCTTCCTCGCAATTGTCCCCTTTATCCCACCGGATGGCGACTGGAATGCCGAAGGCTACCCCTACTACGTGTTCCCCGTTGTCGGTGTCAGCGTACTACTCCTGGGTGTATTCTACTGGTTCTGCTGGACAAAGCTATGGCCAAAGCTCGGAGGCTACAAAATCGTCAGTCAGCGCTACGAAGATGCCCAGGGCAACGAGCATATCAGATATGTCAAAGTGTACACCAAACACGACTAAAAAATGTCAGGCTAGGATGGCCGTGCAATACTCAACAGTACTACGCAACCATTTTTATTTGGGCAACATATTATGTAGATTACTGAGACTAGTCTCCATTTTTTGGTGCACGTTTTGCATTTTCACAGTGTATACCCCAATTTTATTTAACGTGTTTCACCACCGAGCGCCGCACCCCACCGAGCGCCGCAGTTCCCCCACTAAAACAACGTCGCAATACTTCTTACGCAACACCACCACAATTTTTAGTAATAAATAGAATAAGATGTTATTC